TGTCGCAATGTTGGCAAAGAGAGGAAGTGACGTAAGATTTGCGCATGCGGGGTAACGATCGGGTTTCCGGTACGGATCGGGTAGCGACACTCTCACCCAGGAACCACACAGTCGCAGAGAGCGTCACCCTGTAACCATGGCAACCGTAACGCTGCCGCCTGTTACATAGCTGTCAAACAAAACTCAAACAGTCCTGACCCGTGACAATATGAAACAGGAAAATACCCCGTGTAATCTATTTATTTCAACAAAGTAACTATATTCTAAATACCACCTTTTTAAATGGTAACTGTAACGGAATACAGTTACTCATATTTTGTATTTTAAATACATAATGGCGGTACGTGTATTCCGTTACTCCCCAACACTGTCCAAAGCACAGGCAGGGTGGAAATGAAGTCAAAGCTAACACTAACCTAACACATAACCAGTTTGTTCATGCAACAAAAGCAAAAACGGTGCATTGGTCAGAAACAAAACAAGAAATCAGTTATTCATAAATCACATCCAGGCTGCTTTTGGTGTTCTACATACATGAATATGTTGACATATCAACAATAAATAGGAAATAATAGGAACAATATAATTAGAGAAGTTGTATTGGAGCGGTTGCCCATCATTTCATCATATAAAGACAATAAGGCTAATGAACACTGAACACTCACAGGTGAATGTGTCAGCTGTGCTGGCATTGACATGACTCTTACTGATAAATCTGTTTGTAATTGTTTGAAGAAGAAAACATTTCTGAAAATATACAATAATGATGTGAGATATGTAAAACAATCAGATCGAGGCTGTGACCTGTTGTTTGGCTGGGTTCTGTCACATGCTGCTTAAAATTAAAACATTTTAATAAAGTGAACTGTCTGCTGTCAGAGCTGCTGCTGCTGTCAGTGTGAATGTTAAAATCACCTGAAATTATCATGCACTCAAATGTTTTCATTTTGGAAAAAAGCTCAGCAATTTTTTCCAGGAAGCCACGTACTCAGTCTGGGAGGATATATAGCGATCAATAATACAGGAGGAGATACACAATTTTTTATGAAGCCTTAACATTTACAAGTCACAAAGTTGTCAAGTAGTAAAGTTTTACAAATGCAACAGTTTCTATATTTCTCAGAAATCGCAGCACTGCTGCTGGTGGTAAAGGGGAAAGGTTCAAACCTGATCAAGTCTGTGTAATCAAGCCAGGTTTTAATAAGAAGCACAAAAAACTTTATTATTAAAAGTGTTTTTAGGTAAAGGTATCACAATAAGAAGTGCAGGATCTGAACTGCAGGGAATGATGAAGCTATCAGTGGATCCACTTTTGTTTTTTCTTCCATGTATCATGCCAACTTTCAGCTCCACTTGTTTCTTCTCTGGTTGGAGTTTCAGCACTTCCAGGAGGATGGAGGTCTTTCTCTCTGAGAGCTTTATGGACCAGACTGCAGGAGCTGACTGGAAAACTGACTCTAATGATGGAAGGACACTCAAGCCTGTTTTAGTTTCACAGTCCTTCACATCAGAGTACAGATCCAGCAGGAAGTCACTGATATTTCCTATAATAATCACCCATGTATCTCTCATGAACAGGGAATGTTTGATATGTGCACACTGATGATAACAGCTCCAGTATCTTCTCTCCTGTCTGCTGCATCTTGTCCATTGGTTTCCTGTATATAATGAAATTCCATTTTGAAGCCATCTTCCATCAGAGCAGCTGAACACTGTTTTTAGACTGTTAATAGACTCACAACACAAACACTCATCCTGTGTTTGAAATCACTGTGTACTGAACTGTAACTGTCATTTATTTGCTGTCTGACTTTAGAGAGTAAAACACTAAATATCAACAATACAGAAACACACAAAGTGGAACAACAACATCTAAACTTCATATCTTGTACAACAGCAGCTTCACCTGCTGCTCACATCACATACATGGAAATCACATATTTACTTACCTTTCAGTCAGGTTGGTTTCAGGATGACATGGAGGATTCAGCTGGAGATTCCACTCTCTGCAGGATTCTTCAGACTCTGAGAATATGAAGAGTTGGTCCTGGTCTAAGAGGATGTAAGCTGGTATAACCCAGCAGGAGAGTATTTCTCAGGTTAGGTTTTTAGCTTTGGTTTCTACTGACACTTTATAAAGAGAGAACAGTCCTCTCCAGCCTGTACAGCAGTCTGCTAAGTCTATTAAATGCAGGTCTCCACTGACACTGTAGGTAAAGGGTCCCATGAGGTTTTCTCCTAAGACTTCTTCAGGCTTTCTGACCAAAGTTTGTTGGAGTGTTTTATGAGGTAGCTGGATCACTTTTTTTTTTTTTTCACTGATTGATTTCTCCATCATGGTCTCCATTTGCGCTTTTATCACCTGCACATTTGTGAAAAACACATAACAAGGCTTCTGTTTAATAAGCACACTCTGTAGAGACATCTGTAGAGACATCAGTGCAGCTCAGTCAGTGTACAGCTCACTATCCTACCTTCTAGTGATGCCATCGGTGAACACTCCACATCTGTGCCTTTTTTAGTGAAATTTAAAAACAAAAAAACCCTTATTATCTAAATCATTGTGATTGTGTGATGCAGTGAACACTGAGAAAAAGACACAAACATACCTTTCTCTCCGGTTGGTGATCTGTAACCAAAGCAGTGAAAATTATATCAGTATCAGAAAATATGATGATGCAGTAAATTAAACATTTTCATTGTTTTGTCATTCTCACCTGTTAGACGGAGCTCTCTTTTGTAAGTTCCAATATAATAATCCTCCTCCTCCTCCAAAAATTACAGTTAAAAAAGCCACAGCTCCACCAACAGCTGCTCCCACATTAAAACTGAGTTCTCCACACTGAGCGTCAGCTGCAGATGTTCCTGCTGTTATCAGCTGAAGGTTGAGTGAGTGACATCTGGAAGGACAGAGGGACACTGTTAGGGGACATGTACAGATGTTGCACATGTGTCTCTGAAGCTTCACTTACTGTGTGTGTTGCTGACAGGAGTAAAATGTTCCATTAGAAAATGTTCCACTGCTGCAGTCAGAGCACTCAGTGTCTGTGGAGGCTGTTCCTGATGACAACAACAACAACAACAACAACAACATGTGTGGATCAGTGTGGACCAAGGTTATTATCGTTAACGAAAACTAACGAAATAACGAAAACTAGAAGTGAAAAAACATTTTCGTTAACGGAAATAAAAATTAAAAAAAGGAAAACTAACTAACTAGTCGAGTCGTCTGTGTTGCTGCTCCATCCACGCGCAGAATCATGTCAGGAAAAGTCGGGAGAAAGCGCCACATTCCAATTTGGGATTACTTTGAATATGA